GTACAGGTACTCGTCGACTAAAATTATAATCTGGTATGACGAGTAGTAGACAGTTTCCATCGTCTCCTTCCCTCTTTATCCTGTCAACTTGGATATTAACCTCTATATATCCAAAGTAGGGTAGCAGATCTCCACCAGCAACTTCAATCTTAAGTGCTTCATCCTTAAGTGGGTGTAGTGGTATATGATCGAGGTGTGTAAGGTAGAAGGTTTCTCCAACGCTTGATACCGTAGCCCCAGTATCCAACAATGCTTTAGCCTGGAGTCCCTCAATAAAAATATCCGCAATGTTGCACTCACTGACAGACCAGGTGGTCCCTCACCGGTCTCCAATAATTCCATCCCAATATTACGAGGTTGTTGTGGGTCACGACCTGTGGATAACCTCTGTCCACAGGGCTTGTTCAGTTTAAATGACCCCTAAGATGGTCGATCCGTACACGGCATCCCAGTTGTAAATGACCGTTCTGTCCACATCGATAACATTGCGGTTCATCCTGGTAATTCTGTTGTGTCGGATCCCTGTATTGTTGACTGTTGTAGGGTTGTTGTTGTTGTTGGGGGTTCCTATATGACTGTCCATTCCCCGATCGGTTATTTCCCCGATATTCCCCGTTTCCACCATTACCATATGTTCCACCATTGTTTCCACCATAGTTTCCGTTTCCACCATTTGCTCAACCATTGTTTCCATTTCCACCTTTGTTTCTATTGTTTCCACCATTTCTCCGTTCATTTGTATGGTTGCCAGTAGTATTTTAGGACTCTTAAACGGTTCATGCAGGTCCATGTAGGTCCAGTCAGCCCAGTCTAGGTCCAGGCTAATGTTAAAGCAAGGGAAGGGGAAGGTCCATGTTAATAAACGACCCAGTCTAGGTCAAGGCTAATGTTAAAGCAAGGGAAGGGTGAAGGTCCAGGCTAATGTTAAAGCAAGGGAAGGGGAAGGTCCAGGCTCATGTTAAAGCAAGGGAAGGGTGAAGGTCCAGGCTAATGTTAAAGCAAGGGAAGGGTGAAGGTCCATGCTAATGTTAAAGCAAGGGAAGGATGAAGGTCCAGGCTAATGTTAAAGCAAGGGAAGGGTGAAGGTCGAGGCTAGTGTTAAAGCAAGGGAAGGATGAAGGTCCAGGCTAATGTTAAAGCAAGGGGAGGGGGAAGGTCCATGCTAATGTTAAAGCAAGGAAAGGGGGAAGGTCCAGGCTAATGTTAAAGCAAGGGAAGGGGAAGGTCCATGTTAATAAACGGCCCAGTCTAGGTCCAGGCTAATGTTAAAGCAAGGGAAGGGGAAGGTCAAGGCTAAGGAAAGACCATGTCAAAGACAATAGGTTCAGTTAATGTTAAAACATTTAACGGTCCAGGCTAAGGAAAGTCCATGTCAAAGACAATAGGTTCAGTTAATGTTAAAACATTAAACGGTCCAGGCTAAGGAAAGTCCATGTCAAAGACAATAGGTCCAGTTAATGTTAAGCTGTCAAAAAAATCGATCCAGTACGTAATCATTTATAAAAGAGAGCGTTTGTTAACATGCTTCATTTCAATGGCTCAAGCTCACATCGATCAGATCAAGAAAGAAGACATCAGTTTAACAGACATTTCAACCAACAGAGTAGTTTGTCGGCTCAGTCTTACACAGGAAGTGGTCATCAGAAAACTTAAAGGTGAGCTTAGAATTTGTTTGAATGAAGAGGGAAAGAGAACGAGACTATCGGGAGAATTTTTAAAGAAACTTTTGACTTTATAAGAAAGTGTGTGGTGTATCTGTGCATTTGTAGAAAAATAACATGGACAACGTCACAGACAGCTGTATAGTCAGTCATTCATTACCTATCATACGTCCACGTCACCCATCCTTTACCAAATGTTGCGACCGTGCAGATACGTTTGCTAATTGGCCAAAACATCACCATCATTCTCCATATCAACTGGCAAGTAATGGGTTTTTCTATATGGGAATAGAAGATCGTATTTCGTGTTTCATGTGTGGAGTCACGTACGTTAAAAGTTGGAACTATTTCGACGAGGTGGTCAAAAGACTGCCTGTTTCAACAGAGGATGTTTATGATTTAAATACCAGACCACCTCACCGCCATACCAAAATGGAATTAAACACAGATTTGTTTCCTAAAAGATTTAATTGCAGAATTATTTCTTTGAAAAACCCGAAGGAAAGGCCTATCGAAGAATAGTAAAAAATCTGCTGTGTCTCTCTTATGCATACGTTGTAAAATCAAAAATAACGGAACTATTCGGATGTTTAGGTTGTGAGAATCGTCGAGCTAGTCAACATGAACATGAATGTTTGATGTATTCCGATGCTGTTGTTATAGACTTACATTTTAACGAAGCATTAACCTATACTAATCATTCGGAAGTGGAAAATACTTGGCGTGAGTTCACCATACAATCTTGTATACCTTTAGGTACGTTACAATACCTGATGCAAGACGAACGTCTGAGGGACGGAAACTACGTAAAACACAGTTATAGTGAAAAGGTAAAGAAATACGTGAAGAAAATCGGTGAAGTTCAGACATACCTATACATTTGACTGTGAGCCGTGAGACTATCATATGACGAGCTGTGTCGATCGACTGATATCGTTTTATGAATGGAACTGTAAACTTCGTCAAACTCCAAGTCTGCTGACACGCTTCGTATTTTTTTGTGAAGGTGTAGTTGATTACGTCACTTGTTACAAGTGTGGAGAAACATTTAACTATTGGAAGCATACAAACTTTACAGTGGAATGTAATGACAAACACTGTGTTTAACCATATTCATCAAATTCAAGTATAAATATTAAGCAGATATGGAGTCATTAGAAGATGTCATCAGAATGGACAACTTATTAAAACTGACGTTTGCAAATCGTATCCGGGAAATAATGAGTGAAAGACAATGTAACATTGAAAATGCCTTTATTTATGTAGATGACATCAGAGTGATTCGTGACTTTATTCGAGAGACTGTTCGTTTTAAAGTCCAGAGAAGTGCTAGAAACGCTTTCATATCACAACTGTGTAACGCTGTATGGAGAGTTAACGAACTCCAAACAGAGACATGGCGAAATAAAATATCAGAAATGGTGATATCTATGAATCTTTTAGAGAAATGGTTTCATAAAACGTTGTAAAATACATTTAATTTGTAAAATATTTTATTTATAATAAAAGAATGCATGCATAAACTTTCGCCTCATTATCATTATGTTGACCGAAGAAGAGAAGCGACTCGTAGATGAAGTATATTACGATTTCAATAACGGAGGTGCATTTCTGAGTCCTGCTAAAGTCCATCATGTACTAAAATCTCGCGGAATCACTTCACCTGGTCTGTATAAGAT